GCTTCCTCCATCACTGGAGCAAAGCAAGCCTCCTGTTCGCTTCAGCTGCCTGGTTGCCGGCCGCCATCTTTGTTGGCAGTTAATTTGTATATCGCCCTGATTAGCCAATGGAAAGCATGTCGGAGGTATGGTTAATTACCATGTTTGTCTATTATTAGATAGGATATGCTATGGTAATATACCTCATTAAACATATTTGTATATTTAGCTTTTCAGTTTCCTAGATATTCATGTAAACTGTTACCTTCTGGATTTAAAAGCATGTGTTTTTATAGAAGAGTGGAATAAGCCAGATGTCCTTGAAGATTTTTGTAAAGCATTGTAATGAGAAATTCACTCTAGATCAAGTAGTTGTTAATATTTTAGAGGTTTTGTCCATATTTAATAACTTGAATTCCATAAAAATAAGGTTAAAGATGCCTCTTTTTATTTACCAAAAAGCTATTTAGTTTTCTTCTTGATAAAAAAATTGTAGCTTTTTAGATCAGTTCAATCAGGCAATTAAAGATCAGAGCTTTTAAGTTCAGTTAAGGCAATTAAATAGGTAATGTACTTGTTTATACACTTTTGCTGTATAAGCCCATTGCTGTACCTTCTTAAAAGCACATATACTCATTTTTGCTTTCTCTAAATGAATGGTGAGGGGAATTATAGATGGAATGTGTCACATTGTCAAATCAAAGACAGGTGTCCTTCTGCAGAAAATGATGAAAGATTATTACTAATGAGTATTCTAAGTCTCTTTGTCCTTTGTCTTGGGCTAAGTACCTGTGTTCTCCTCTGATCACCACTTTCTTCCCTACCAAATGCTGCTCCTAAAAACCAGGATCTTGTATTTATGAACACAGTTTTTAAAAGATTAAGAAATGGAGATATATTGAGTTACCTAATGAGAAAAGAGAACAACCTATTTTTCACATTTAAATGTCTTCCTTGGAATACAGTGTTCCTGTATTTTTAGCTGTTAAATATATGTATATATTTACTTATTCTGTACTGTGGGATTTATAAAACATAATTAGTGACTTCCAAACATGCTGTTAAAATCAAATTTTTCCTATAGTGCATATCCAATGAGAATTATAGATAGGATGAAATATGATCACCAAGCAGTGACAAACCACCCATTCCATGATGCTTATTAATCTGGTACACGTTAGTTTATTTGCCATGTCAACTAGAAGTTTTTTAGAAATTGAGGTACAACAGTTGCCATTCATAATGAATCGTCAAATATTATATTCAGTCAGGTTAATATTATATTCAGTCAGGTTTTACTAGTGTTTATTCTTGTTAAGAATTGGTTGAGATAATTTATATGAAAGTACTTTATAAACTATCAAATAATTAGGTATGGTTTTTATTATATAGTAACTATGAATTAATCACTTTATCCATTTAATAAGCATCCCCTACTCCCAAATCAAGCCAGGGAGAGAGTTTATTATACTCTATTACTGGATCAAAAATTATGAAAATCCTTTCTCTAAGATAAACATGTATATATCACATGAGGACATAATTACTAAAAATGTTTGAAACTTCCACCAAGATTAACTACTGTGAGAAAATTGTCTTTATTAAAAAAGCATATGTGTGAGACCTATAAACATAGCATGTACTGACTGGGTAAAAACAAAGAAAATGAACAGTGAGAAAGTCTGTTAGGCCAGATCTGACATTACAGCAAACATTGCAGCTTAACTTCAAAACATACGTTGCCACTAATGAGGTGAGAGCCCTGCATATTAATAAACCTCCAGTTCCAGTCATAGCCATCATTACCCACATCAAACATAAACACAAGATTAACACCTATGCCATTTCTTTGGAAGATGTGAGAATGCCTTGGCAGTAACTGCTCTGTCTTTCCCTGAGGATAAAAAATAGAAATGGAAGGGTAATGAGAATAGAACTTAGATTAAGAAGATAAAATTGGCAATCAAGCTGAGACAATCTTACACAGATGGAGAAGTTTATAGAAAGAAACAACCTAGA